AATATATTACATTAATTTTATAACACCCTGTATATTACGGCATGCATTCAAATTTGCCAGGCGTTTCTTTAATATTCTGCAAATTTAAATCAAAATGTGGACTTGCTGTTTCATTTTTTTGAGCCTTTTTTAAGTATAAAGTATCTTACTTTATATAATTAATAAAAGAAGGGTAGAAACAAAAATATAAATTTTATGAAAATCATAATTGCTGTAACCACAATAATATTCTTATAATTTTTATAAAATATTTTTCCAAAACAAAATATTCATTTAGAAATAAATATTATTTCATTTTTTTCCTAAATTATTTATATTATATTTATTTTAGGGTAGGATAGGTTTCATCTTTAAACTTCGTAATTTTAGACCATTTAGTAAATATTTTTGTAAAATTGAAAACCTACCTAACTGAGTAGGTATTGTAAAATTTTAAAATTCTGGCTAGATGACTAGATTCTAGAAAAAAGTATAATGTTTAAAATTAATATAGAGGACAATTCCACTCCTGTCAATTTAAACCTCCTAAAAACTGTCGAAAATACGGTTTGCTGACGGATAAAAAGGAAGGAACAGAAATGCAAGTGAACAAAATTGGCGAATGTTTTTCTATTTACCATCTCCATAGTAACGGAAGTGACACAAAAATTAATTAATTTATTTACTCGTGGAATTATCTTAACAAATACCACTCGAGGTATATTGAGCAGGACTTTTAACTCAACCTTGGTAGTTTGTTAATTTGACTAAGAAATTTGGGCGACAAAATCACTTAAATCACGCTCTTGTGATTTTATCGCCCAAATTTCTTCTCGTCCAAACCCTAAAGTTTTCGTAAAAAGTCAAAAAATATCCGGCTAAGTCAATCCTCTATGGATATTTAATAATTTTTTTACCTGTCCCCTGTGGAAGAATAATCCTTGATCAAACTTCGCCCATTTAATGTAATACTTTTTTTGTGAAATAAAGTCCTTTTATTATTATTATTATTATTATTATCATTATTATTAATATTTAAGTACACCAATCAGTTGCATACTTTATCTACGAAAACCCAAATAAAAATTTTAATCCAATTTTAATTGTTAAATATTTGACATCTGACTAATTTAACCTTACTTTTTCGCAATTTATAATATAGCTAACTTCAGCCCGTGACTAAAATGCCCAAAACCCACTATTGCTTACTTCAGCCCGTAACTAAAACGCCATAAAGTTACAGCTTGTAAATGTAGGAGTTGATAAATAAATTTATTAATCACACTCTTCTTTGCATTTTACTGTTTTATCCAAGTTCTTTAGTTTTTTTATTGGAAAAATATACCATTTTCTGATTAATTTAAACTTAGGTACACATACAAGTGCTAACATTATAATTTACGCTGTATAATATTGTTTTATACATTAATAATAGCATAATTAACTGAAATACATGGACACAATATAGCAGCAAACTAACAAAAGTGTGAAATTCACACTTTGTTTGCTTTTATCGTAAGGATTCGAGCCGCCTTTTATTAATCTTTTTAACCTCTACTTTATCCGTGAAAATATATAAAATGGCACGTACTACATAAAAGAAATAACCCTCTTAGGAAAGCAGATACGTCGAGATAAAGTTTAATGGAAAAAATAAAAGCCTGTTTCCGTTTATTAAAATATACTTATGAGCGTTAATATTGAATGACTGACTTATTGTTCTTTTCGGTTTTGTTTATTTTTCAAAACATACATGATTTAGAGTCTGCTGATTCACTTGTCCACAACATACGTGACATTCTCATGTTCTCAGATATTTATGGAAAACTGTAACTGGACATGTTTATTTACGTTTTAAAATACATCAAGTATTATTTGAATTCGTAATTTATGATTTTAAACTTAAAGCATACAAGATCAAGAATAGTACCAAATTTCAAAATGATTTATTATGATTTTGGCATGTTGCTATAAATTGTTTGCAATGTTTATTAAAAATAAGAGTTAAGACTGGCCAGAACAATCTGGTTTTAACCATACACGAAGAAAATAAAACAGTAACTATTAATGCGCAGAACAATAATCCATTTAATAAACTATTGAAAATAATATTTCATGTGCAGAATATTTCTCACTTTAATGTATTGTTTCCATTTTTTTTATTTTGAACTACTGTGCGAATTTGTCCTACCATTTTTTAAATTTATACCACTGTGCAAATTTAAAAGTTCAAAAAAAATATTTGTTAAGTTTTAAAATTATGCAAAAATTCTTTTGGTTTGCTTACCAAAATAAATATAACTGCAACTTTTTTGTTTAATATAATTAGTCATTCCATTAGAGGCTATTTAAATGCCGCAATGATACGAACATCAAAAAGTATCATTAAAATTTGCTTTTATTAAATTTAAACCCCATTCAGAGCGAAAAATAAAGTAATAAACCACAATTAAATGTTTCGACGGCAAAATATAGGGGAGAACTTGCCCCTTTGATAATATCTGCTATTCCGTATTTTTCTTATTTAGATGGGAGTCATAACAAAGGGCGTTTCATTTTTATATCTATGCTGCCATCAGATAGGAAAATTTACACATGTTTAAAAACCTGCATTCTTAATCCTTCATAATTTTCCTTTGAAAGTTAAAAATTTAATATAACTACAGGTCTAAAATTCTTTGATGTGTTTTTATTACAATATTTTTATTATTTTATAATTCTTGGACTCTATTCAAAATGTTAAAACTGGAGCATCAAATATAAATATAAGATTATAAATATTAGCATAATGGAATACAGTTTATTTTGAAATGGTTCGTTATTTAGTTTCTTTTAATTTAATGTATCAATTTAGAAAACCTAAATGTATAAATATAAACCCATATGAATAGGGGAATTTCAAGCCAAATTTTTGAAAACTTGGTCGATTTGGCAAGGAACGACCCATAAATGTTTCAGAATAAATTTAAATTATATTCCTGAGTTTACTAGAATTTATTAAAGTGCCTTATTAGTAGAGATTGGATTTTAGTGTTATTACCTACGTCTACGTCTACGCTAATCATAACTTTAGGTGAATTGGAATAAAATTTTGAAGTAAATGATTTATTCCATTTGAGCCTTATTTTATTTTACCTATTTTATCTGTGTATTTTGCCAGGTCTTATGCATTAAAAAAATATAAAATTTATGTTGGTATTATAATATTTTTACAAGATTTATTCGTTATTTTCAAATTTTTCAAACCATAAAAATCTTGTTCGATAAAATTTTATACAATAATAAATTAAATTATTTTACAACCTAAAAGTTGCTTTTCAAGTAGGTACGTACCAATTTATTAAATTTCTCACCCAAAACAAGAAAAAACTGAACCTATTTAGGTACCTATTTTTATAAATTTTGCAACCCAAACAAATGTGTTGTTAAATGTTACCCAAATATTATACCTACATTTCATTGTGTTTGTTAATAATTAGAAAAATAAAAGTCTTTGATAAAATATATTCATAAACTAGTCGTATTATAAATAAACAATTAAAAATTGTTAGCATGTGTGTGACATATTTTTAAATTATAAACATATGTACATAATATTATTATGAATATTAACATATACGCATTTATTGTTATAATTAGATAAAATTTGTACAAGGTGGTCCAAAAGGAACCTTTATTTGAGAATCAATAAAAAACGTGAAAATATTAATAATTTTTTTAATAAACTTAGGTATATCGAAAACACAATGTTTTCAAAAATACAAGGTTTTGAAGTTGCATATAAAAAAATCTACTAAACATATTTTATGGAAATTTGGTGAGTATTGTATTTTATTTTATTCGGCATTAAATTCATTTATATACAAGCAGTAGCAAAATTGGATCAAAAATGTTTGTTAGTTTGGAAGAAAGTAATTTTCTTCGCTAAACTTACTTAAAATAACTGAAAAATACAAAAAACTGCATAAACTTTTTAGGTGGAATAATAATTTTTTAATTGATAGTGTTTTGTATAATAATACTACAATAATTGTGGTGCTATGTAGGACATAAGTTTTCAATAAATACATTATATTTTGTAACAATTTGTAATACCTACTCCAATTAAAATTTTATATTGGGATAAATCTTAACTTTGGCCGCAGTAGCAACAAAAATATGGACTTGTCCAGTTTTGAAATTAAAGATGACGTTTTAACACAGAATATGCATATTCTGCAACCAAGGTTATTTGGTGGAGAATCTCCATTGGAGATACTAAGAAGAAAGAAACGTGGGTATATTTATTTTACACATTTTTAATGAGGTATGTAGGTAGATAAGTACCTATAAGTATACTTTATTTGAAAAAAAAAATTAAAAAATACAGCCAAAATGTTTAAAAAAAATAATGTTAATGGTACCTATTGTATAGTTTTGCAAATGATATTATTTTTATTTTGTTTGAATAATTTTTTTAAACCATGCCCCTTTTTTAATTAGATGTCCATTTATATGATTCCCATACGTGATTGCAACTATTTTTCGTTATTTTTTTACAAAAATTATAAATGCAAAATAATTTTATATAAAATTTTTAAAGAGAAAAATAAAATATTACTTAAGAAATTGAAGAGTGCAATACTTAATACCCATTGGTTAACACATTTGTGCATTGCACATTTATTTATATATTAATTTAATTTCAAACTCAAACATCGTTTATTTTTATAAAAAAGAGTAATAGGAAGGCAATACGATAATTATAAAATATTGCTAATTTACATACATAGGTAGTTTGTTATAAAAAATATTTAGAAACTAACATTTTAAATAAATAATTATTATTAAAAAAGTAATTTATAAAATTTATAATTAATAAATAATCTTAATTAATATAGAAATATTAAATTATCGTGTTAAAATAAAAACAAAACAATTATTTAAACAGCGTAAAAAATACAACGTAAACAAAAGAATGGAATGAATTGAAAAGTGAGGTTAGGTCGCGGACAACTGCTACTCAGGTAAAGTTGACTCACCTGTTAGACATACGAAGTAAACAAAACACACGCTGTAGAAAGCCATCTCGAGCGAAATGTCACCAATTGCCACCCAAAAACTTAAAACATGCACAATTCCACTCGCAAATGGGCCCTTTTTGAGTGCGAAAGTTCGGAAAGTATACGAAAATGCGGGTAAATACGGCACACAGCACAGCTCACACCCACAGAAGTTACCGCTTCGACTATTCGTATTTGAATCCAGTAAGCGTTGAATCAACCTGTTCGGCGCGTTCCGATTGCGTTCGGGCGCATCCGAATGCGACTGCAGAAGACGTGATGATGAAGATCGTGTGAAAAGTATGATTTTTTGTGTGCACCTTTTGGATGAAAGGTTTTTTTTAGGTAAGCATTTTTTGTTTCGCACTATTATTGTTTGAATAAAAAATAGTATCGAATTTTATCTATTAGAGATAAGATAAGAGAGATTGGAAATACTACTAATTTTTGTCAATGTTTACTTTATTTTTATTTATTTACCTACTTGCTTATTTTGACCCATGTTAGTCACGTAAAACATATTTTATCTCCAAGCGGTCTATAATTTAAACTTTATTGTTGTCAACATTCGATAAAGAAATACCTTGTTATAGCCTAGGCCGATAAAAAATTTTATGAGGCAAGTAATTAGTTCGATTTTTTCTCGCTAGGGGTATTGTTTTGACAAATTAATCTTTTCTAAGAAATTAACGTACTAAACTGGTTTAATTTATTTATAATAAGCACTATTTTTCATTAAATTATTGTAAAATTAAATATGAATAATAAAACAAAAAGTGAGGTTAGGCAACCAAGAAAACGCACGATTCTTTTTCTACGATTTAAATTACCTTTAAGTTTTAATTTGCTTTAAGTTTTCAGTGAAATTAAATGTTAAACAAAGCTTAAACATTCCGAACTACCTATTTTTTAAATAAAAATCCAAACAAATTGAAATTAGATACCTACTTATTTATTAAAAAATTACAATTTTAGTGGCTACTATGACAATTAGTCATTTTTGACTAATTTATTTTTAAAGCGTAGGTATTATTTTAGAGGGACAATGTAATATCATATTTTTACCTCCATCCCCATTGACATGAAAGCTTGAAAATAGACTATTGTTAACTATGGTATAAGTAAAGTCATTTTTGACTAATTCATTCTTAGAGAGCAATCTTTATTTTTTGTGCGATTTTAATCAGATTTGTTTTTAAGTATAGATCTTGATTAATTGTATTTTTGGAACAAAAAACACCATATTTTTACAAAATACAAGGCCTGCTAAGTCACTTTTTGAGTGTAAATTTTTAAGAATTTATATTGGGATTTTAAAAAAATCGATGCACGGAACTGGATTCATCTTGAAAATCTGTTACCAGCGCCACGGTATTTTTTGTTTAAATCGAAATGTATCCCTTAAAAATGGATCGTTTAATCAAAAATAGAAGCAGTTTTTAACAGTAAAAGTAAAGAATGGGCAACGTGGAGTCTCCACCCGAAATTAAGGTAAATCTAGTTCACCGCCAACGCAATATTTAAAAAGCTTATATGAACATTGTACAATGTTTATATAAATTTTTCAAATATTGGCCATGAGAAACCATAAAATACTTTTGTATTTTTGTATTGAGATAAAAAAAATAATTTTTAGTCTTAGTATTACTTTAGTTTACTGTATTTTAACGATTGTATGACATTTGACAACTGTCAACTTACTTATAAATAACGTCAGCCCGTGACTAAAAACATGTTGCTAACTTAAGCCCGCGACTAAAACTCCATAAAGCCACAACTTGTCAATGTGCATAAAAAAGGTCACTTAGAGCTCTAGTCATGGAAACATGTGCGTTTTGAAGGTGGGAGTAGAAAAAAAACAAAACCACCATATATTATTTCCGAGATAAAAAAGCCTGGCATTAAAAACAAAATGTTACTAATTATTTTGGAAACGCCTTTTCTTATTAATTTGGTCAATCTAGAAATTTAATACGTGATAAAGGTGCCCAAGCTAGCCGATAGATTTGGTGTGGCCCATATATCCATTTCCCGAATGGTGCAACGGTATAGGGAGACTGCAGTCACCATGGTGACCATACCAGAACTTCTGGACTGGTGACCATTAGACTGGGCCAAAAAAATCAACTATTTTTTTTTTGAAAAGTATATCGAAAATATGGTTTGGGGTGACAAAAAAAATTATTGTGAAAGTTTGAGTCCATAATATTAATATTAAGAGGTCTATCATCGCAATTTTAATTTTTTTTTCCTCAGCAAGTTTTAGGCTCAGAACTCCCAAACCATTGAGTTTAACAAAATTGACTTTAAAATATTTTTTTAAGAAAATTAAATGCTCTACAAAAAAGGTTAAAGTGAAATTTTCCGTCAGATGAACCGTTTCCTTAAAATCATGCCTTAAAATTTGGTATAGTTTTGGAATTTTGTAATTCATGTAAAAATCAGTACCCATAAAAAACCGACATTCTTATGGGAAATCAAATGCTTTACAAAAAAAGCCTCTTAACATTTTTGGCTAAATTCACTCAATCAAAAGTTATTCAAGGTTAAAATTTCGTGATAAAATCGTTGATAAAAGATTTTTTTTGTAGAGCATTTGATTTCCCATAAGAATATTTATCGTTTTTTTTCAGGGTACTAATTTTTACTTGAATTACAAAATTCCAAAGTTAAAAGATCAAATTGTAAAACTATACCAATTTTTAAGGCATGATTGTAAGAAAAGGGTTCATCTGACGGGAAATTCCAAGCAAACCTTTTTTGTAGAGCATTCAATTTTATTCAATTTTGTTAAACTCAATGATTTGGGAGTTCTGAGACAAAAACTCGCTCAGGAAAAAAAAATCTAAAATTGCGATGATAGACCTCTTAATATTAATATTATGGACTCAAACTTTCACCATAATTTTTTTTGTCGCCCCAAACAATATTTTCGGTATACTTTCCAAAAAAAAAAATAGTCGATTTTTTTGGCCTAGTCTAGTGACCATACCAGAACTTCTAGTATGGTCACAAGTCTAGAAGAGGGGATAAATCGTTCTACATAGTCTGCTAAAGACCGTTTTAAAGGCTTTTTACCTTGAGGCAACGGTTTGTAACAACAATAATGTTGCAATCTCAGTTTAGATGCATGATGAGGTCAAGCATTAAGTGGCGGCTGGTCGATTTTGGGCACACCCATATCTCAGTTATTAGACATGGGACCAACAGCAAATTTATGAGTTTATAATGACATTATATAGACAAGTTCTGCGCAAGCAGAATTTAAATTGAAGTTTTCGAAAATAAGTTAGTTTTTAAGTGTGCCCCGCCAAATAAAGATAAATGAAATTAAAATGGTACAATATTTAATTCACTGAAGTTAATCGACAAATTTTAAATTTTATTAAAAAAATTCAAGTATTACAGATTTTATACCATTTCTATTTTTTTTTTAAATTTAGTAAAAGAAATAATAAAAATTTAAAATGATATAAAACCTGTAATACTTTAATTTTTTTAATAAAATTTGAAATATGTCGATAAACTTCAGTGAAATAAATATTGTACCATTTTAATTTGAATTATCTTAATTTGGAGGGGGCAACTTTTTTTCGAAAACTTCAATTTAAATTCTCTGATCAATTTTGCTAGAGAACGTCAATTGGATGAAAGCTGACTTTAAACATATTTATTAATATAGAATTTTTTACAGATGTCTATATTTTGCCCGCATACTTGCGATAGACGTGTTTGTATTTTTCTACAGCCCAATGAGCGATATGCACAAAGTAACTTTATGAATACCACCTTAATAAGGTGACCTTATGCGGTGGAGGCTCAGTTATGGTGTGAGGATGCATTTCGTTAACACGGCATACCGACTTAATAATAATAATGTTAAATATTGTTAACCTTGATTCTGACCTTTTCTGACCAGGTACTGTCGTTGGGATTCGTACTATGGCCTGGCCAGCCCGAAGTCCAGACCTGAACCTCATCAAACATGTCTGGTACATGCTTGGTAGACAATTAAGGGATCATCCGTTCAATAACTTGGAGGAAGTGGGAAGTCTTCTTAACGAAATATAAGATGGGATGGATTAAAACAAAATTTGAACACCCAATTGCACCAGAAATATTGGGATGTTGAAAATGTTTGGTATTAATAAGATATCCCTACAACATTCAATTCCTATTAGACATTTAGTCACATATTTTTCTTTAAATCTAAAATAAGGAAGTTATATTTTACTATTCCAGTAGCAAATGCTATCAATTAAGTAATTAGAAACTCTTAGTTTCCATTGCATGGTTTTAGTTTATTTCGCAGCTCTGTACCTTGTTTGACCCAGAGCTTTTAAAGGTCTTGAGCGATTTTCCGTCAAAGTATCAATTAGTGGACGGCATTACCAACCTGAAGAAGATCAAAGTACGGAAGTAATTAATGGTTACGTCTAACAAAGAACTAAATTTCATTGCATGTGCATTCACATTTCCTTAGCGAGAAGTTCACGAGCATTCAAGCCGACAGTTTCTTTCGGCGTACGCTGAGAAAAAACGAGAACGACAATATCAATTAGATTTTCTAGAGGAAATGGAATGCGACTTATTTCCGGGGAATTGATGATTGATCAATGTGAGTGTATTATGTTTTAGGGGAAGCCTTACTGCTGGTGGATAGGTTTTTGTTTGAGAGGCCTGTCTAGTCAATCTATATGAAATTTAAGCCTTAATCAAGAGGATATGTTACTTTTTATTAGAGGATATTGTATACTTACAAGGTTTGTTAATATGAAACTTTATTTTAATCAGTATGTTGGATATAATACCAAAAATCATCACTAATTCAGAAATATTACTGGTTATAAATTATAATAAATAAGTGTCCTAAAATTCTTTTTATTAATTCCACTTATAATAGAGATAATTTAGAAAACATTCTTAATATTTAAAAAGGTGCTGAAAACTTGTTTTTAAGGGTAGCAGAGGTTTTAGATTAATTTTGAATAAATTAAAACCATCAATATTTTATGCTTAAATTTGCAAAATAAAGTGGTTAATTTGAGATGATTTAATAAAATTAATATTGTTTTCTGGATATACTGGAATACTGACTACACAGACAGCATCCAATTCAGAAAGATTTCTGTACGATTTCTGTTAAAAAAATCACAATATGACATCCTATGAATAAATTCGTCAAAAATGACAAGTTTTTAAAGT